TGCCTCAGGATTGGTTGATCTGCCATGCCTTCATTAATGTCAGCGTGGTCACATGCAGTCAGGTACCAGCAGTCTTTGGGGTTTCTGCCTGTTTGTTGCCAGGGTAAGGCTCTTGGTGCAATTGCCTTTCATTGCCAGCTGCCAGCCACGCTTATCTGGAGGAGACAGATTGAAACACAACTTGCAGCCTGTGTGATTTCCATTAGCTGATGTGCCCTGCCCATTGTCAAGAGCAGAGTCGTTGTTAGAAGCCTGTCCGAAACATCAAACCTGCCTCTGCTGCAGCCTGTCATAACAACCTACATGGGCCACCACTCTTGTTTGGTAGTGAAGGAGAGCCCAAGAGGCAGGGGAGACAAAAGCGATCGCCAAGTGAGGCGCAGGCTGTGCAGGCACGGTTGCAGGCACCTATTGCTTGCACAAGGAGCCAGGCAAGGTGGTGGGTGAAGGAGGTGACAGGGCTTTACAGGCACCTGCCCTTCTGTTGAGGTGGGCTGTCACATGGGGCTTGAAGGGCTGCGGGTTGAGTATGAAGCATCCCAAAGGCAGCAGGATCCTGAAAGATCTGGAGACTTACAGTCCCTTCTTTCTTCTCCAGGTGGCCTTGTGGAGTTCCCCACTCAGTCTGTGAAGGGAGGGAGTGTTCAGGCAAACCTTTGCTACCAATTTCTGTGCTGCCCCTGCTACATGAACTCCCATTTCATGGGCTTGCCTCTGTCATACTTTTTACTGACATTTTATTCACTGTCACTTGCACAAGGGAATTTAAACTGCTTCTGAGAAACACTCCTCACTTGCATAGATTTCTAATTTTTGATTTAATAAAAGAGAGGCAGTCTGCCTGCTGAGATATCTGTCTGTCTCACATGATGAGAAATGCTAGCTGCCACTCTGATGGCGAGACACTCTGACTGATGCTGGTGGCATCTGGTGTCCGCAGGCCTCGCTCGGTTTGGGCTGAGCAGCTGGTCTGATAAACAAATCTGTACCTAATTCCAGTTTCCTGAATGGGAAAACACAGCCTCTTTGTAGTGCATTGTAGTCACATCTGATCTCTGAGTGGCTGCCTGTGTCTCTTTCAGCAGAGAGCTATTCCTCTCATGCACAGCTGCTTATCCAATGCTCTTCAGACCAGACCATGCAATTGCTCCAAGTACCAGAGGGACTGTCCCCTGCAGAGAGCATAGCACCTCCAGAGCCCGCTTCTGTTCTTCTACCCAGTGTATTTGTGCCCCTGACCAGCACAATGCTGCTCCTTGTGCTTCAAGCACTGTGTAGTGCCATCGGGCTTTCTCCCCTGCCCAGCACTCGGTGCAGGTCGCTGTGCTTTCCCGCTCAGGGTGGCTGTGGCTGGCAAAGCCTTAGTGCATCCCAGTGCAGCCGGCATCCAGCGCTCCCTCTGCATTTTGTACAAGGCTAGCAGGGAGAGAGGAAGGAGCTGAAGGGACCCAGGAGGGACAGATTCCCTCCTGTTCCCATCAGGGACAGATTTTGAGCATCATCTCTGTGTGTCTGCAGCCTGTGGCATGGAGCTAGACAAAGCAAGCAGCCTGCAAGATGCAGAGCCAGTGGCTTAAGTAACTTATTTGTAACTTCTCTGGGTCTACTTCCACCCTCTTCAGCAAGTGTGGTCCACATACTGTATACACAGAGACCAGCGAAAGGAGACTGATCCTGTCTTTACCAATAGCTCTCTGCAGCTTCAGATCTGAAAAGAGACCAAACTGTACAGTTTTCTGGCAGGCTTCCATGACGAGGCCCAGAACTGTCCCCTGTCCTTGAATAAAGCCCCCAATTCTTCATTTTCTCTCCTTTTAACTCCTTCCCAACAACACTTCTTCCCACAGAGGTCCTGCCACCAGCTTTCAGGACGAGCACGCTTCTTCCATTAGTCGTTCTTGCTCTACATCCAAAGCAGGAGCTCCGTCGCACCAGGGGACCTGCCACCTCCTGAGCACAGTCAGGGGCCAACACGATGCTCCGCTTCAGCGGCACAATTTCACAGTAATGCAATAACCGAGAACAGACTGCGGCTGGCAGCACGAGCCTCCCGTGTGTAAGCACAGCACACTGTGCTAGTGGATCAGCCTAGACAAGTCTTATCTGCAGATTAAATGATTCAGTGGTCCTTAGCTAATAAGTGAGGGATTTGTGCCTGGACCCTGACACTGCATCTAAATTTATGCGCTGCAGTCAGGAAAGGAGCTTAGATTTGTTGAGTTCTCTTCCTGACAAGGGAGGAAGCAGTTTTCTCTGGAAGTAAATCCAGGTAGTCCCCTGGGACTGACTTCAGCAGTAGTTTAGTCTCCTCTTTTTAATCCAAGCTGGGAAAAAAGGAAAAAAAAACCACAGTTTTTCTTTCATGATTTTTTCGAGTTTTTGTCTCTTCTTCTTACCTGCTCTGAGCAGGTCATGCCTGTGGCAACACAGCTGGAGAGATGGTTGCATAGCAGAGCGATGGCTCAACTCACAGGGCAGAGATTTCCACCCCTGCAAGGGGACATCTGCTCAGAAGAAGCCAGAGAGCACACAGAGAGGGCAGGCACACGATGTGTAGCCATGCACAGCTCCACTCTGTTTTGGCCATGAGGCTCCTGGGGAGATGGTGGCAGGCAACTGGCATCCTTGGCCCATGTAGCAGTACTTACTCCCTTTGAGTTTCCCCAGATTCTTCTTTTTTTTCTCCTCACAGAAGTCTTGCAGCAGTTCGCTTTCCTGATCCTTGGAAAGTTCATCCTCCTTTTAGGTTCCTTTAAGTTCCTGAAGTCCTTTAGGTTCTGTGGAAGGGGGAAATAACAATGGCACCACAGTGTCCAGCCGATCTAAAGAGTCAAAAGGTGCTAAAGAGTTTGATATTTGCCAACCAGTTTTGATCCCTCCCATTCCCAGTTTAACCTGAAACACAGCTGCTGCTTTGGATGGCAGGGATTTTTGCCCCCTCCACTGCTCTCTCTCTCTATTAACTTCTACTGCTTTTGTGATGGTTTCCCAACAGTATTTGTCATCTGTGACTGAAAAGTGGTAAGTGCTAGGTAGTATGACCATGATCACTGTTAGAAACCCCAGCTGAGCATGGACCACCACCACAGTTGGCGTACGATGCCCCTTGTTAAGAGCTTGTTTTCCCTCTTCCAACAGCAAGCGTGGCCCAGTGGCACTCAGCAGATCCTGCTCCCTCCCGCCTGGCAGCAGCTGACCGGAGTGGCCACCCACACTTTGGTCCAGCATGCCACCATCATCCCGGAGTCCATGGCGGGCACCCAACCACTTGCAGACTGGAGGTAAAGTGGGAGGCGCTTGGAGGCCCCCTGAAGTACCCACTGGTGGTGGAGGAGGCATGAGAAGAGCCGGGGTCGGAGGAATGGGGTCTTGCGAGGCTGCAAAGCCGGGGAAAGAAGGGCAGAGGCTGTAGCCTTCGACCTCTTTGTCTGGGAGCTATGGGCAGCTTCTCCCTTCCCCATCCTTGGAGTGGAGTGTGGTGCCCACACCGCTCCCTTCAGTCAGTTTTCTGGGAGGAAATACCACTTGCTGAGGGGGACTGGGAGCCCAGCGGGCCCTGGAGGAGGGAGCCTTAGAGAGGGCAGCAGGAGCCTGTGGAAGGCCTTGCTGAAGAGCCGCCAGTTGCATTTTAACCATGTGCCTGTCTCCCCCCTCTGCAGAAACACGCACGCTCACGGCAGCCATTACAACCCCATCATGCAGCAGCCCACGCTGTTAGCGAGCCATGTGACTCTCCCGCTGCCCAGCCCGTCAACGTGGGTGTTGTGCATGTCATGCGCCAGCCCCCCGCCGCTGCCACCGCCGCCATCTCTGCCAGGAACCGTAAGCAGCACCAGTCACCGACCCGGTGAGTGTGTGCAGCTCTCAGCACTGGTCATGGTGTCGGTGAGGCAGGAGTCCCCAGCTGGGTGGTTCTGAATGCAGTACGAGTGTGCTGATGAGGGTGGCATTTGGTGGCATCTGTAGGGCAAAACAAAGTTTGCTCCACGGCCTGTGAGTGATTAGATGATGGTTTTTGCTGTTTCACCTCTTTGGCCAGGAGGGCAGGAGGTAAGAGGTAGTCAGGTGCATTTTATACCTAGTGAGCATCAGTTGGTGAAGGAGTTAGTGGCTGGAGGGGATGCAGGATTGGAGACTCAGGCCCTGTTCAGCTCGTTTTGCTGCTGGTTACCTGAGGCCTTGTAGTCACCATAATCAAAAATTTAACTATATTCCCAGGTCAGCATGGCACAATGCTCAGTTGCCACCCCTTTTCTTCCCATGTCCTCTCGAAGAAGCATCCTTGAGGTGCAGTGTCTGCATTTCCACAGCATAGTGCACCTCCAGGGGACTGCATCTGCAGGAACATGTGCCTGATGTGTGCATACAGGATCTGCTCTTTCAAAAGCAATGGGGTGATGACCTATCTTCTGAGCAGAGGACTGGGGTGGTTTTAGGCCATAGGTGGTTGGCCCCCTATCTTCAGTAGAACACACCAGCAACAGATACCCTCACTGGGCTTTTTACAGTCACGGCAGCATAAAGCAGGGGGCGTTTTATAAGGACATTTCATACAGAAGCAGTCATTAGACACCTAGATCTATCAACTCACAGTAGCACCATTTGGCTCTGCAAAGAGGAGACTGGGTTTTGGTTCACACTATATTATATGGCACAACTAAAATGGTAGGATGATTGCAGTGCCTGTCACAGCCCTGTGATCTTGCCTAGAGAACAAGGCTGTTCAAGATGTGTATGCAGCTGTTCTGGGGAAAGTCCTCTGGGCTGTGAAACTAAGACATTTCTTTAATAAAAAGCCCAAAACAAAACAGTGCAGGGGAGAGAACCAAAGTGGGTCACTCCTTGTGCAGTGTCAAAAGCAGAGGAGCTTGTGGTTTTCCTGGGTGACTGGACAAGAGCCAGATGAGCTCTAAGTCCACAACCAGTTTGACTCTAGTTAAGAGTATTTAAAGCCTTCCCATATACCTGCTCTCTAATGTTGCATTTACTTTGGGTGGGCTCCAGCTGTCATAGGCCATTTGTAGTGTAGAACAGAGACAGCTACGTCCCCAGCAAACCGGCAAAAGAGAGCGCCTGTTGCAACCAGTGCAGGGCCTCCCCTCTCCCTCGCCTCTCCAGGGGCAGGGTGGCAGTGTCCAGGAGGAATTGGACACTTTGGGATTGGACACAGGTTTCTACTGCTTCAGTAATTGTGAGGCTTTTGTAGCCAAATGAGGAACGTGCTCCTTTGGAGAGGAGGGTACTCCATGCTGCTCATTGGTATTCAAAAAGCACTGCAAATGCTACTGTGCAGCCATATACAGAGCCTGTGTAAGTTGGTATAGTGCGATATGTCCATAGTGACTTCTTTTGGTGGATGCCACCTATTCCTTTTGTTAGCTTTCAGGCCAAGCTGAACAGTGCAGCCCAGGCCCCTCTGCAGAACAAAACCAGAACTTTGTTTGCTTCCTTTTTGGGTCTGCGAATGTTCTGCAGTGGGCAGAAGAAATCCAAGTTTAGAGAAAATAAAGAAAAGGAAGAAAGAACATGAGGGGAATGAGTGAAATGGGCTTTAGTCAGTGTGGTTTGGTAAATATTCCCAGCTGCAGACCTGTGCCGTGTTGTTTGGTGGACAGGTTCTGTGCTTAGATCCTCGATCCAAGTGGGCCCTTTCCAGCTGCCAGGCAGGGAAGCTGAAGTAGGAAGACTGGAAAAAAACCAGGACTTGAGAATGTTTTTTCTACTGCCTAATAAAATTATTGTTCTTTTCTTTCCGATTTATATGTGCTGCATCTGCTGCCTCACACGGGAATGAAATGAACCTGATATATGTCCTCCCATCTGCATGCTCTGATCCTTGGGACTTCTCAATGCTTCATCCGCGAGTATAGTGCAAGAAATGTTCACTGGAAAGATTCTTAAACAGATATTTATTTGAAAATAAAATTTTCAAACTTTTCCTGTTAAATGATTAGTTTTTTTCCCACAACAAATTCTAATTTTACCTTTAGATTTTTCTAGCCAAAACCCATCTGGTCATGATGCGTCCATGCAGGGTACAGGAGAAAAGGGATTCTCATTTAGGTTGTTCTGCCTTCTGCAACAGCCATACTGTGCCTGCCAGTGTTTTGTATGTCCAGGCTGTGTCCCTACCCTCTACCTCCCAGCACAAATGCTCTTGGGAGGGAGCATTTCTCATTTGGAAATTTCTAGGAAAAACAAAATCAAATTTTTACTGAAAGAAACTACTTATCAGCCAATTATATGAGTAAGTCATGTGAGGCACTCTGTCCTTTGCAGAGCTGACTATGCCAATTTTGCACTTTTCCTAGACATCATAAATCAGTGCCACTGAATGGGAGACCAGGAATCAAAAGCCATAGTGACAGGCAAGTTAAGCAAACCGAGTTTTCCCCAACTAACAACCTTTCCCATTTCCAGAAACACCTCCACCTGTGAAGTTTCATCCTGTCAATCCATCAGCTCGCCTCAGCGGTCAAAACGAGTGAAGGAGAAGACGTCTCCCCGCTGCGCCATGGTGCACAACAGCCCCGCCTGCAGCACCTCCGTCAA